AAGGGAATTTAGTCATAAAATCATCAAGTTCAACCTTAACTCTCTTATTCACACAACTTAACAGAAAAACATGATTTCAAGCAAGTTTCTAAGTAGAAAAGGGTGCATTTAGTATCAAAATCATATCACAGAGAACAATATTTTCAACCGTTATCAGCGATGTTGATTTTGTTTTGTGAATAATGTGTGACTAAGGGAAATCCTAGGGCCTTTGGTCCTGAAATTGATATGACTTTTATAGGTTAGCTAGGCATACTAGGAATTTATCTTTAGAGTCAATCCCACCATTTGAATCCATACTATTAGAGTCTCAATAGTCTACTTCTACATCCACTGTTCCATACTTTGTATATACTGCATCTGTTGCATCTTGTTGATAGAAGAATCAATGTGATAGCTGAACCCAATCCCTGTTAAGTTGTTTTTTTGTTAAAATAGAATGACTCAATTTCTTACACCAAGAGGGGGGGTGGTGAATTGGTGAAATGTAAAAATAAAATCTTTGAAAATATTTTTCACAAAAATGACGCCTTAATACTTTTCTTGAATAGCAAGGTAAAAGATTTTCAATGCAGCGAAAATTTAATCGAATGAATGCATAACATAATCGATTGAATAAAGAGAGTAGGGATGAGAAAATTCAAACACTATGTTTTTATACTGGTTCGGCCAAGCCTACATTCAGTGTCCTTCCAACCATAGGAAGCTAATGCACTATAATGATCAAGGTTTTTACAACAAGGCTTTTATAGCGACCTCACGTAAAAAATATAAAACACCTCTCTAACCCTCTAATCAAAATATAGGTAGTATACAACAAGACCAGTAAACAGAATCCCCTCTTCTGTTGTCTAAACCCTTTGAGACACTCTCAAAGTCAAGAACGTCGCATGCTCTTCTTCATGCAATCACAACAGGGAACTTCAAACCAATCTTCAAAAGATTGTAACCTTTGATCTCTCAATGACACCCAAATGTGAAAGTTGATCAGCCTTTGAAAACACAACAATCTTGCTCTTCAAGAAATCACAAAAGTTGATCACCACGGTCACTCTTGTTTCTTGGAGATTTTCTTTACTTTCTGTAAGATCACAACTTTCTGCAAAAGATATGAAAATGTTAGAATCACAAAATTTCTTACAGAAATCAAATATGCGTCAATTTATAGAATAACTCATCTTAGACGCATTTTAATCGGGTTAGCTATTAATGCATTCAAATAAAACAATTATGTTATAACAGTTAACATCAATCACGACAATTAATTGAATGCACAATTAATGCGGTCGACTAACATTCAATGCTTGGTCAACATAATAAAAATATGATCGTTTGACACTTATGTCAAGCATTAACATTATTTCAAAACAATAACTAACTTAATCGAATAAATCATGCATGCAATCGATTATGCAACAGTGTTAACCATAGTTTTGAAAAAATTTCTCTTTGAAAACTCTTACAGCACACTTGAAAATTGTTTGTGCAAAGACGCAAGTTTTAATCAATTCACCCTATAATGAAGTCGACTTAAAACTGTTGTTTTGCCACACATTTAAAGTTTAACATAAGTGCTTGTGGTTTTCCTTTTCAACATCATATGTCATGCATNTCAATGCTTGGTCAACATAATAAAAATATGATCGTTTGACACTTATGTCAAGCATTAACATTATTTCAAAACAATAACTAACTTAATCGAATAAATCATGCATGCAATCGATTATGCAACAGTGTTAACCATAGTTTTGAAAAAATTTCTCTTTGAAAACTCTTACAGCACACTTGAAAATTGTTTGTGCAAAGACGCAAGTTTTAATCAATTCACCCTATAATGAAGTCGACTTAAAACTGTTGTTTTGCCACACATTTAAAGTTTAACATAAGTGCTTGTGGTTTTCCTTTTCAACATCATATGTCATGCATTTACATATAAAAAACACAAGTATAACACAATGATATGTAATGAACAACACAAACATGCTCTCATATATGCTTGAATAGATTTAACACAGTGATCAAAAGCATATACCATGTAAATATGGAACATGTAACACAAAATGTACATGTGTTATTAATTATGTGTTGTCATCATCAATAACTCAGATATTACTGAGATTGTGGGTTAAGCTAAACCTTTGCTCCCCCTATCAACAATCTCAACATTTTTTATGATGACAACACATTAATAGCAACAACACATGAATAATGAAATGTCATAACAAAAAAGTGTTTATATGTTGTGTTATACATATATGAGTTTGTACATGCTTATTGTGATAAATGCATATACTGTGACAAATGCATATGTTGGACATACTATGTAGTTTATGCATACTATTGTGATTATGATGAGATTATATCTGTGTATGCACATTGTATGTTTATGTGTATTGAAAACCACAAGCACAAAAGTATATCTACATGACATAATCGATTACAGTGTTATAGTAATCAATTAAGGTCATAAGATAACTTATGTTTTGAACTGTGGGAAAACAACTAGTTTGAATCAATTACATTAGTTATTGCATCGATTAAAACTCATGTGTTTGCAAATATCATTTTCAAATGTGCTGTGATAAGTTTTTGAGAAGAAAAAGTTTTCAAAGTTCTTTTAAGTGTTAAGATTAATCATTACATGTGTTGTGTATTCAATTAAGTCTGTTAAGTTTTGAAAATTGTTTTTAGCTTAGTCAAAATGCTTTAACGGTCATATTTTTAAATATGTTTGACTAACATTAAATGCAAATCGATTACATTAATTGCGGATTCAATTAAGAACTGAGTTTGTTGTAATCCTATTACATTTGTTTAATGTAAACAATTACATAAGTATAATAATCAAATATTTTTCGTTAGAACTGATAAACACTATATATTAACGCATTGCTTGATTTTCTGTAACAACTGTTGATCAATCTAAAATTGTCACATCTGATATTCTTTGTGGGAAAAGTGTTACAGGTTGAACACATGCTCCAAGAATCAAGAATGCAAAGTACTTGAAGAATCTTGAGGAATTCTTGAGAGACAATTGACTGAAGTATATTGGCTAATCATTTTAGCACGACTGAAGGTGCATCTTGTTCGATCAGGAGAAGATTTGGCAATCTTTGATTTGCTGTTTCCCTGGACGTGTGCTTCAGGAAGAAGAGTGAGGAGCTCTTGACTTTGAGAGGGGATTCTCAAAGGGTTTCTACAACAGGGACAAGGGGTTCTATGTTTGTAGGTGTATTCTGTTCTATATTTGATTGAGAGTTTGTAAGGTGTTTACATTTGAGTGTGTTCTGTAAAGCCTTGGTTGTAATACTCTGATCATTATAGTGAAATACTCTCCAATCTAAGGTTGATTGGGAGAGTGACTGTATGTAGGCATTGAGGCCGAACCAGGATAAAAATTGTGTTTGATCTTCTCTCTTTATCTCTTTACATTTCCAGTTTCATTGCAGACATATTTTCCTACTACACAAGAAAGATTTCAAGATCATTCTATTTGGCGAAAAAGATCTAAAAAATGCACGTTTTTATAAAACAACAATTCAACCCTCGTCTTGATGTTGAGAAACAAGGTTCATTAATTCTAACACATTTGATTCTGATTCTGTTATTTTTCATAATGAGAACAATATGGAACAACCTCCACCTCGCGAGAGGACTCTTAGGGAAATGGCTGCACCTGATTTCGCCTATGAAAGCTTGTGCATCCAATATCTTGATGAGGACGTGTCGTATGTTTTTAAAACTGGACCGATCCATTTGTTGCTTAAGTTTCATGGTCTTGTAGGTGAATGTCCACATAAGCATCTGGAGGAGTTTCACATATTTGTTCAACGATGAAGCCTCATGATGTTCTTGAAGATCACATCTTCTTGAAGGCATTCCCTCATTCACTAGAAGGCATGGCAAAGGATTGGTTGTATTACCTTGCGCTTGGATCCATCACAAGCTGGGATGATCTTAAAAGATTGTTTCTGGAGAAATTTTTCCCAGCATCCTGGACTACAACTATAAGAAAAGACATTTCTGGGATTAGGCAACTTGGTGGAGAGAGCTTGTATGAGTACTGGGATAGATTTAAGAAGCTATGTGCAAACTGCTTTCACCATCAAATACTCCAACAACTCCTTCTCCAATATTCTTATGAAAGCTTGAACAACATGGAGAGGAGTATGATTGACGCTGCCATGGTGGAGCGCTTGGTGACATGATGGATGCTGAAGCCAGACACTTTATTGAGAAGATGACTTCCAACTCCCAACAGTTTAGCGCTCGAAATGATGTCATTGCGGTGAGGGGAGTTTGTGATGTTGCTACACGCTCTTCCTCATCCGCATATTTCTGAAAAGTGCAAGGACCCAGGTACATTCTACATCCCTTGTGTATTTGGGAATAGTAAATTTGAAAATGTCATGCTAGATCTAAGTGCTTCTATCAATGTCATGCCTCTTTCAATCTATAAATCTTTGTCTCTTGGTCCTCTACAATCTACGAGTGTGGTCATTCAATTGGCCAATAGAAGTGTTGCCCACCCAACAGGTTACATAAATGATGTTTTGGTTAGGGTTGGTGAATTGATTTTCCTGTTGACTTTTATGTTTTGGAGATGGATGAGGGATTCTCTCATGGATCCGTTCCCATTATTTTAGGCAGGCCATTTTTGAAAACTTCCCGAACCAAAATTGATGTGTATGTTGGAACTTTGTCTATGGAATTTGGAGATATTATTGTGCATTTTAACATTCTTGATGCAATGAAGTTTCCAACTGAGGACCACTTTGTTTTTAGGATTGATATTTTGGATGATATTGTTGACAAATATACTGCTGATGGTTTGATTCTTTGCTTGATAAAGAGCATTCTTTCCTATCTTCTTTGCATACATGCATTAAAGCTGAATTTGAATTTGAATCACGTTCTTGATGATGTAAAATATGATGATGTTGATTTTGATGTGGATCTTGAGTGGATTGTGATATTGATGGTGTTGGTGATGTATCTATCATGGATATTGTTGTTGAGTGTGATGAAATGGGTGTTATGCCTTTGCATGTGAATTCTTTAGAGTCAGAATGCACTAACCACTTTGTAGGAAGTACAAATGAATCCCACTTTAGAGTCAGAATGCATTAACCCACCCCTGAGCTGAAACAACTCTCAGATAACCTCAAGTACGTGTACTTGGAGGATGATGAGAAGAAGCCTGTGATCATTTCCACCTTCCTTGATGCTGTTTAAGAGGACAAGTTGCTGAGTGTGCTAAGAAAGCACCAAAAGGCTATAGGTTGGACCTTGGCTGACATACCTGGTATCAGCCCATCCACTTGCATGCAAAAAATTCTTTTGGAGGATATGAGCAAAGCTAGTTAGGCAGCCACAGAGAAGGCAAAACCCTATGATTATGGATGTCATCAAGAAGAAAGTGACCAAGCTTCTGCAAGCTGGGATCATCTATCGATTATTAGATAGTTAGTGGGTGAGCCTGGTCCATGTTGTGCCAAAGAAGACTGGCCTCACTATGATAAAGGATGAGAGAGATGGGCAAATTCCCACAAGAGCGCAGAACAGTTAGAGAGTATACATTGATTACAGGAGGCTCAACCAAGCAACCAAGAAAGATCACTTTCATCTGCCCTTCATTGATCAGATGTTGGAGCGCTTGACAGGTAAATCTCATTATTGCTTTCTCGATGGGTATTTTGGTTATTTTCAAATCAATATTGCTCATGAGGATCAGGAGAAAAGCACATTCACCTCCCCGTTTGGCACTTTTGCCCATAAGAGGATGCCTTTTGGCCTATGCAACGCCCCTGGTACCTTCCATGGGTGCATGCTTAGTATTTTTAGCGACTTTCTTGAAAGTTGCATAGACGTGTTTATGGATGATTTTACTGTATGTGGATGCTCATTTGATGCATGCTTAGACAGTTTGGAAATTTTTTTGAAAAGATGCATTGAAATTAACCTTGTTATCAATTTTGAGATGTCATTTTATGGTTGAACAAGGTTTGGTTTTAGGGCATATTATTTCTAGCAAGGGAATAGAAGTAGATCCTGCTAAGATATCTTTGATTTCACAATTTCCTTACCCTTCTTGCATGCGAGAGGTGCGATCTTTTCTTGGACATGCAGGTTTCTACAGGCGCTTTATCAAGGATTTTAGCAAGAAAGCGCTTCCCTTATCCAAACTATTGCAGAAGGATGTTGAATTTGTGTTTGATGAGAGATGCAAGCAAGCCTTTGACTACCTTAAGGAAGCTTTGACCACAACTCCAATCATTCAGGCATCGGAATGGAAAGCCCCATTTGAGCTTATGTGTGATGCATCTAACTATGCATTGGGGGCTGTCGTGACTCAAAAGATTGACAAACTGCCAAGAGTGATTTACTACGCTTCTAGGACTCTTGATGTTGTCCAAGCAAATTACACCACAACTAAGAAAGAGTTGTTAGCAATTGTTTTCGCTCTTGATAAGTTTAGATCTTATTTGCTTGGTTCACCTGTTATTGTGTTCACTGATCATGCAGCTCTAAAGTTTCTCCTGAAGAAGGCTAAGTCAAAGCCAAGGCTAATAAGGTGGATGCTCCTACTCCAATAATTTGACCTGCAAATCCAAGACAGGAGTGGAGCACAGAACTTAGTTGCAGACCACCTTAGCAGGTGATGAGTGCATATTTATGCTCATATTTATGCTTTAAAATTAAATTTTTGATGAAATTCATGTGCTTGAATGATTGATTTAAAGAGGATTTGTGATGATTGGAATTGTTGGGTTTGGGAATTAAAGAGACGTAAAAAGTGAGTCTTAGCGCATAAAATATTCTTGAATGTTCTTACGTTTATTTGTGCAGCTGAAATTATAAGTTTTATTGGTCCAAATGGCAATTCAATGCCCAAAATCATGTTTTATTTGAAAAATAATGTATAGATGGGCCAAACAGACAAACTGTACCCTTGCACCTCCTAAAATCCCTACATACACTCCTATTTCTCAAACAAGCCAACAACCAAGCCCAAACACTAAGCCTTTTCTACTACACCTCCCTAAGTTTCCTGTTCCTACCCCTCCTAAGCCAAACTCCACCAGATTCTGCCACTTCATTAATCCTCTGCACACCAAATAGACCAACCACATGCTGCCACATCACCCCCCTCTACCACATCATCATCTTCACCCCAAAAACCCTATTCCCAAATTCAAACCCTAGCCACATATAGTGTCTTCTGTCGTTGTCGTGCATCCTCCACGGCCACCGTTCATCTCCTCCTTTCTCGCTGGCGCATCAACGAACCACCACTCCCGCCACCGCAGCGCCTCAACCATGTCGCCCCGTCACCGGACAATCACCATTTTCCTTGCATCATCGCGCCACCACGACACAAATCCAAACAACCACGTCGCGGGCCACCACCTTCTTCCTCGCGAGCTTCTCAACAGCCAACCCCAAACCAAGCCACCACATGCCGCACATCACCTTCTTCCACCACCTTGCCGCCGCACCACTACAGGCCACCACAGAGCCAGCACCGTCAACAATCTTTCCTCGCGACTCCAATCATCACCCTTCGCGCACAGTTGATGACAAATTTATGAACACCGAAAAACGGCGCCACAAACTTGTTTAACAATCGACAAGTGTGACCGAATCGTATCAAGTAATAAACTCGGGTTAAGACCAAGTATCATCTCCCAAAAGACTCACGACCTAGTTAGCTATATGATTGGTTGATTATTAGACTTAAGAACAAATTGATTGAGGTTTAATGCAGAGACAGTAATTAAATATGTATGCATATGAATTTGATCAATGGAAGAAAAACAGAATACAAACACTTCAATGAATTAGATGGATGAGTATGTTGTTGGGGTAATAATTTCATCTATCCACTCTCATATACTTTAGGAAATTCATCATTCTTATCATCAATTGTAATGCCACTCTCTAAATCACCTTGCAAGAAGGCCTATCCTAATTATGAGTTCCATACATTCCTAGCATTCTATAATTAGTTCTGAAGGTGCAGGAGCTTAAAGGCAACCAATATGCTATTGGAGAGAATTCCCGGATCTAGACTTCTCCGTACGTTCCTCGATCGACAAAAACAATAATCATGGCAATTGAATGAGTTAAACAAAGCAAGCAATAAGCAAAGAGGGAAAAACCCTAACTAAAGTGGACAGAAAGAAAGCACATATTTAATATAAGACGTTTAAAACAAATTCCATTTATAGAGTTTCACAAGACTACATTGATTCCCAACAACAATACAAGGTTTAGTTCACCATATTCATGGGTGAAACTAGATGAACAATAATGAAAGAATGAAAGATAGAACCCTAGAAAAGAGAGGAGGTAGCCTGAGCATCCAAGATCTTCTTCAAGGGGTGGAAAAGATAGTGTTTGCTTCGTCTGCACCAAAGATACAACCCTAGGACGTCCTAAAGCTTATATACTATTCTAAAATTACAAAATTAGGCCCAAGGGGCCCCAAAATAGTGCCGCTCAACGGTAAGTGCGTGAGTTGTTCCTCCCCTCAGCGGCACTTTTCCCCTCAACGGAGCCAACGTGATGCCTGAGTGCCGCTCAGCGGTAAAACTCAACTGCGCGGCAGTTGCGGCTTCTCCTTTTGCACTTTTGATGTCTTTTCTGATTCCATCTCTATCCTTCTTCACTTCTTTCACCAAATTCACCTTAAAAACCTGCACAAAAACACTGAAATCAAGCATCACTGTTCAGCTCTCTTATTTCTAAAAATTATAACCAAAAGGATGTTTTCAAGCTAGTTTCTAGTGTAAAGGTTGCTTTTAGTATCAATTTTAAGCATAAAATAACAGTTTTTCAACTGTTATCAAAAGTCTCCACCGACAAAATCGCATCTGGCAATCACTGAAGACGCCACCAAGTTCGAACATGGACCTGTCATCATCTCCCATTCTCGTACATACGAAATTGCCACCGCCACCACCAACAGCCATCAAACACCCACTGCAGCCATACTGTCAACCACCAAGCCGCCACTGCAGAGCCACCATTCATCTTCCTAACCATCATCTCAGACTTGTAAATCATAAAAATCCAGAAACCCAATCGCGATTTTCATCGTGCCTCTTC